CGCCTACCTACTGAACAACTTATCATCAATTACGAAATTTTCATGCAAATTGCGCTCCAAACTTCGAGTTCCTTTGGCAACCAAAAACAAACTGTTATCGAAAAATTTTCCTAATCAACACGTCTACTAGCTCACAGAAATACGTACGAAACCAAGCTAAACACTTATTGGACCTATGAACCGTAGTGACAAGCACCGTAGTGACAAAAACTTAAAAATTCATAATTGGTATGGGAACGAAAGCTCCCGCGCCCTTCCAACAAATCTGCTATGTGGGTCCCGTAATGGAAACGCACGAAATGTCCCACATATGAGATTGAAGCATCGCCGAGTATGCGCGCACGCAATACCGCCAATGACACATGTGTGACATGCGCCGAAATCGGCGCGGGCGTCAATGTGTTAAGACAGTGATTCGCACGCGAATCACACCTAGTGGCCTGTCAAGGCAATGCGTGAGTGTCTGAACAACCAACAATAGAATTTGGTCCAAGGAAAAAGGACTGATTAATGAAATTCCTGCCTAAAAAATAACCACACATCTTCGAAATGTTACCTCCAGGCTGCTGAATCATTCCTTGAGGATGTTGTTGAAATGACGGAGGCATCTGCTGTCTCATCATCATAGGTTGTCCGTGCATCATTCCTAATGAATCCAAATTTTTTTGCCGTTACGTGAGAGCGGATCGGAAAGCAAATGAAAAAATAATAATAAAGGGGAAAACTCCATCAAATACATGGGTCGGGACCGAAGTTGGTGTGTTATTTTGCTCGAGAATTCTAGAAGAAGTGCGATGAGGACACCAGTGGTAAGAAGACGCAAAAAGCGCCATAGAAAACACTAAACTTCCTCTTGGAGGTCGGCCGTGGTATGACGGAGAGACACAGCGCTGCGAGGAGAGGGAAAACGCGAGAGAGCACGTCGTACGCGAGAGGGCGCAGACGCCACGTATGCCGCGATTGATAAGGATGGCAGCACGGCAGCACACAAGCAAGGCCTTAGCGCCGTTGCCTCGCACTTCACATTCGCGACAGGTCGCACCTCCTGCGCTTGGGCCTTCTTTCTCACTTTCAGAGAGACCACTTTTGCATCTCACCCCGATCCGTGACTTTAACACGGCCGGAATGAAGAAAATTCAATGTGGACTTCAGAAGAGATGAAGCCGAACATTGGCAACAACAGCAACAACAAAGCATTGCTTTTCAAACCTTATACACTAGGTTGCCGCAAGTCTTATTCCTGCTTCGCAATTTATGTTATATTTTTGAGACAGCTAGCCATGAGAAATAACATTTCTGCACTAAAATTTATGCATCATTACACAAGATGTTGCCTTCCGTCACGTAGGCTGGTGTCAGAGTCCGCGATCCGTCGCAGGTTTCGCTGATTTTCGCGATTCACGCGATTTTTATTTGCGCGATTTGCGCGATTCACGCGACGGGTCACGGAAATCACAAGTGCCCGATCAATACTGCAAGGTGTTCTCCAATCCTGCCGCCACTTCTGCTTGATAGTGATGGCTGAATGACTGCTCATGATTCCACTTGTTTCATATTCAGTGTTTCAAATGTTCAAATGGGGCACTTGCAATTTTTGCGATCCGCGCGAAGCCTGCGACGATCAAGGAATTGAAAGTGCCCGATCATCCTCCCTCCCCTCTACTTTTTTCATGTTATGGGGAGCCGCCGCGGCGAACACGACCGAAGATTTGAGCGGGAAATTCGAAAACGCTCCAGCACAGTTCAACAGAACGAATCATGAGCATTTCAATGAACTAATAGACATTGAACATGAAACAAGTAGAATCACGAACAGTCGTCTTTCAATCTTCACTGCCAAGCAGAATTCGCTGCAGGATTAACAGCACCTCGCAGTATTCATCTGGGCACTTGAGGACATAAACCCCAAGTTCTTAAAGCAAAAAACAGGAAGGTGTCCTTTTTGGGTTCCTACATCCAGATCGCTGAAAGTCTTCTCTCTTATATGATGGGCAAAAGCAGGTTCAAGTTCAAAACGGAAGAAAATAAAAAAGGCAGGGAGGTGAAACAAAAGAAACGGGTCAGGAGGCTCCCAAGAGGGACGAAATCTGCCTGGGTACCTGTTCGCTCTGCTCTGCCAGAGTCAGAAGAGTGCCCATCAAGAGGCTGACGGCATGGTAAACGCGCAGTGGAGCATGGCTAGATGTCTGCAAGTCGTACTGACTTGTAATTCAAAGAATTAGGTTTTAGTAGTTCGCATCACACAAGAATGCTGGGTTGTGAACAAAACTTTCGCCCCAGGCGGGACTAGAACCCGCACCTCTCGCTTTCCGGGCAAGTGCGCTACCAGTTACGCTACCGGGGCACCATTTCATCCAACTCAGCTCTTCAAGAAGAGCTCTTGAAGAGGAACGGCAAAAGCTCTTAAAGAGCTGAGTTGGGATGAAATGGTGCCCCGGTAGCGTAACTGGTAGCGCACTTGCCCGGAAAGCGAGAGGTGCGGGTTCTAGTCCCGCCTGGGGCGAAAGTTTTGTTCACAACCCAGCATTCTTGTGAAACATTCGCAAGGCGAACTGCGGCCAAAAACAGCAGTTAACAAACAAAAACAAGTCTAAATCCAAATCATACATACTTAAAATGAAACAAGAAGCGTAAGAAATATAAGAGAGCTTGGGTCTGTCACAATTTCCTCCACAACAGTGAGACAAAGATGGACGGCAGTTCAAATGGAATGATAAGGTGTAATACCACGAGAAATGTCGAGCGCTAGACGCCACTCGGTACTCATTCGACGTTATGAGCGCATCGAGCAATAAGAAAAACGAGGCATATCCGAGGCGTCGGACATACTACCCAATGAAGGAATGAAGGTTAATCAAAGAAAAAAGCTTCAATTCAATAAGAAAATATGCTGGATTCTGAAACTATTTATTTACTTACCCATGTTTTGATGTTGGAACTGTTGACCTCCTTGCATCATGTTCATCGGTTGTTGAGCGGAAACTGGCATAGATGCTGGCATTGGTTGGCTCTGCATAGAAAAAGTTTACGTAAATTACACAAGAGTAACGATAGTGATTGAAAAAAGGCAGTAGAGTGTGCTGTGGAAACTAATTCTCGAAACAAATTACCGCAAAAATAGGCTGTTGTTGATACTGCTGCTGTTGTTGATTCATCATTCCACCCATATCCACTGAAATAGTTCCAAATGAAAGGACCCGCTTAAGATCAATTGAAAGACTTGAAAATTTTGACATTCAAATTGTTCAAAAAACAAACACAACGAGACAAACCCGAGAAAAGTGGAATGCATCTGATTTATTTCAGTGAGCGACAACATTGCGGCCGCACCCGTATAGAAATGTGCATCAACTGATTAGA